GGTGGTGTGGCTATTAGCCTGGTGATTTTAGCCAGCTAAATTTATTGCTTTCATTCACCAATCTAACACCATGATACTACCTCTAAGGAAAGTACTAAGTATTTCATATTTTTTTAAATCATTGTTATTACTTGATTATTAAGTTGAAATTTTTAATCATGCAGAAATTAATTGAAATATCATTTGAACTAGATTGAAAGTAACTTCTTTTTCATTGCCATTGTTGACAAATACAGTGGTGAATGACATATTTTTTACTTGTAATTAAATATATTTACTTATGTAAAAATAAAAGTTCATATTATAGTTTTGAAATAGTAATTTCAATTTCAACACAAATGAAAAATTTTCCAGAAGTGTGCGGTGTGTTTTTCTCATGCTACTATTGTCATGAATTTGCAGATATCAAAAAAATAATTTGCTTCCCAAGTTTTATTCTTTAATAAGAAACTTTTACCTACGAACATATATTTTGACATTTCAAGCTAGAATGAATTTTCATAGGTGCATAGATACAAATGCCAATGCGCTTTCTAACCTTTTGTGTAACATAAGCCATATAATTTCATCCAGTGGGGAACTTTTTGGTTACTTATAAGGTCTGTTTTTATTTGAAGATTTGTAAATTATAGAAAGCCTTCTGAAATCCTTTGTTTCATTTATTCCATGAATTGAAAAATGCATACCTGATATAACATATAATTGGAACATGGCTGACTCACTTTCAGACATAAGTTCTTGTTATGCTAAGACTAGCAAAGTTTTACCACAACTTTCTCTTGTATCATTAATTACAGTTTATAAACATATAATATCTTGTTTGTTTTGTTTTGTTTTGTTTTGTTTTTTTAATAAAATGTACATGAACGTCTTATAGTCTCTTAAAGTAAAAGCATGCTTTCTAACTATTAGCCTTTTTTGTATATATAAGAACTACTGCATTATCAAGTAAAATTCGTAATTCCAGTTGACCCCCCTATACTCCAGGGGGGGTTCCAATTGTAATCATTACATTGTATCCAGATATCCTGCCTAGGATTTTTCTTTAAGTGTTTCACTGATACATAACAATGTTTTACATTTTTGCTAATTGCTTTCTAGAATTACGGCTTTCCTGAATAAAGTCCTATCTCTATTAGTGACCCATTCCCTTCAGTACATCGTCTGCACGCTTTGTTAGCAATCATTGTATACTTGATTCGAGATCAGTGATAACAATACTAGGACAAGGATCAATTGCTTCAAGATTGCATAAGAAACACTCAATAACTTAGGGTGTTTCAAGTTTATTTATGTTTTAACATCTATCTATTGATTAGGTTTGGGTTCATATACTCTACATATCGTATTGATTTTGCACAGTGATACTTACACTTGCATGATTTTGTTTGAAATAATGATCTCAAGAAAAGCTAAGCTGCACAAATGTAAATACCAGCGCTATGAATAAGCACTGATTTTGGCCTGGTAAAGCTCATGAAAGTAGATTCCTGAGATTTATGAGAGCAGCTGTTGCAGTAATCAAGGATACCCTTTCTCTTCAGGGATAACTTTTGACTAGTGGTGTTATAAGTATGACAACTTTTGACTGGGCTCTGCACATACCTAAATAAAATAATAAATAAAATAAATATGAGGACTTTAAATTGGTGTTACATGTTGCTCACTTGTAACTGCCTTTTATACTTCAGTTATTGTTCAGTGAAAGTTTTGGTAATTGCAATCATTCTTCTCAGCTATCAAGACATTATAAGAGAGGTACGCACAATAATGAAATGAACAGAATATTGTTCTGGTGCAGAAAGCACATGTACTAGCTTACTTTTGTAGCTCTATCTTTTTGTGTTGGACAGAAAGCATATTACTGAATATTCATTTTGTAGCAATGCAAGGGAACTATATAAAATACTACGGCTCCTAGAAACATATTTCCTTCTTCATCACTTTCCTTTTCTCTCCTTTTTTTCGGTCTGGGAAATACTGCTTTACAAAAAGGCATTTCTCTCATTTAAGCTGTTCATGTGATTTTTCTATGTCCTTATTTCACTTTAAAAATTCTCTATGATAGTCCATGGTATACTACCAGTTATGGAGTCTTGATCAGTTTTCTCTGTAGTTTACTTTGAAGTTCACTTTTCTTTTAAAGATACTGGTCTGTCTTTTATTCTTAATTCTGTCTTCTGAAATTCTGAATGATATCTTTTTCCTCCTTTATATTGTAATCATTAAGATCTTTACAACTGTAAGTATACTCTACTTTTTCAATGGTGGCTGAGTCTACTGAAGATGAAAATAATAGGCAAAATAATGATAAATAAACTACAATTCATAAATTCATCTACTACAAGGAAGGATGGACTGACTATGCGGTCTTTTTTGTCTTGAATTCTACATAATACATGCTATAGGTAACAATCTGACAGATGATTCCTTGGTTTACGAGCAATTCAGTAGCTCTATTATGAAAAGGGGTCATGGTTCCCAGGAGTTCATCACTTCTGAGAAGTCTGATGGTATGTAGTTTTGGTGCAGAAGCATGTCTGGTTCCCAAGTTCTGGTTCCATAGCAGCCCAAAGTACCAGCTGAACATGTCTGATGGAGTGATGGTCAGCTTTTTAGTGGGGGAAACGGTTGAAAAATAATAGTAATACTAATATGCTGGTTTTATCTTTTATAAGTATAGCTTTGAATATCTCAATCTTTTTGACATTATTGCTTTATTTTATTTTAATGCCATCTGCATTGGAACTTCAGAATTTCTTTTACAATTTAAACTCTACATTCTGAATATTCTGCATTTAAAAAAACAAAAAACAAAAAACCCCAAAACCCAAACCCTTTCAAGTTCATTAATAAGGTTTTCTCATAATTTGATTCTCCTAAATTAATTTTGGTATGCCAGCTATCAGGACTCTGTTTTCTTTTCCATTTAGATTTCATATATAAGTATCTAAATATTTTTGTTCTTGTACATATTCTACTTTTATTTTGGAAGCTTTTTAACTATGGAATTCAATTTTCATATTTATAAATGTATGTGCATGGTATTTGTTTATTTATGTTAAATTGCATACCAGCCTGTACATCTTATCATACAGGTTCATTTGTCCTGTTCTGCTGAAATGGATGCTCCTTTCCTTCCCCTTAGAGCTTTTATATACTTTTCTGTATCTGCTTACATCAAAACTCTGAAAAGTTCACAGCTGTCAAGTTTAATTTTTTCAAGAAATGTGTGAAAGTTACAAAAGGTGTGTGATAACCTCAAATTTAACAGTTTTTTGATACTTCACTTTTTAAATGTAAAATTACTTTTTTTTTTTACTATATTTCCCTGAAAAAAAAATCTTCGACTATTTTAGAATAAGAAATAGTTATGACGGTTTTTGAAAACAAATTTATTTAGTTCAAAATGTAATACTCCCATACTGTATTTTATTTATAAATGCTGCTTTTTCAAATGGGTAGAAATCTGATGTTATATAAAAGTCATCTCATTTTCAAAATAAAAGATACAAAATCAAGCAAAGCCCAAGATTTTAACATCTTTGATTTTTTTTTAGGTACGTCATTTTTCATTTTATGTTCTTTCTCTCCTTTTCTTTTGGACCCAAAGGATATTTAAGGCATGAGTTTTTAATGACCAAACTTTAAATGAATATATATAAAAGAATAACTTTACCTTTTGTCTTTATAACGATGGGTCACTCATCTATTGTACACAGAATTGTGGATTTGTAATCATTTTCATTTACATTTTTATGGTATATTTTGAGGAAAGATATCCAATGCAGGCATTTTCTCGTAATTACTGTTATATCATTCTGGAATGATTAAAGCAATACCTAAATTTTGAGATATTAATA